TCTCCTTCAGGATTTTCTGATTATTTCTCAGGTACTTCTGAGTGTCCTGTCACCGATTAGGAGAGTCTTCTTAAGCTCAGAATTAAAATTGCCCTGAATTTTGGAGATCCCCAAATCTTATGTAAATAGCCTTAGGTTTAAATCCTTAGACATTCATGACCAGTGTTAGTTAAGTAGCTTTTGTTTTTCAGTCTTGTGACCGCCCTTGATCTGACACAAATGGTCAGAGTCTGTCGTGGGAAGATGTTGGAGGAGGCTCCCAGGAGCCTCGCCCATAGTGAAGGCACGCTTTACACAGTATTCAAGCTCCTAGTCATAATCAGTAGTGAGAGCTTCTCACACCAGGTTGACAAGTGGAGCCAGGGCTGCCTGTGTCTGGGCCACCTCTGCTGTCAGGTGTGGCCGCAGGTATGGCGTGGGGCTCCGGGGGCTCCAGGAAAATAGCCTTGTGTCATATCTGGAACCTGACTTTGTCAAATAGCTCTTAATGCACCTTCCTTTGCTCTATCAATTGTAAATCGGATAATAAACACAAGTAGCTTCTTACATTGTCCTGTGTCTCCCTGTGATTTTTGTTTCAGTCCTATACAGTCCAGCATGAAGTCTTTATAGAAAGCATCCCATATTTGTTGAACTAATACCAAAAAAAAAAAAACCCAGATCATTAATAGTCAAGGAGTAAGCAGCTCTTTTAAATTTAAATTAAATTATTTTTGTTACTGTGAGGATCGTCTTGGGGGTCAGAAACAGTCTCCAAGAGTCACTTCTCTCCTTCAGCCACGTAGCTTCTGGGTATCAAATTCAGGCGGTCAGGCTTGGCGTCAAGTGCCTTTTCCCACTGATCCACTTGCTGGCCCGCAGGTATTTTTAGATCTAGACTATGCCACATCACGATAGCTCCGTCCCAGAGTGACACCAATCAAGGATAAAGTCATCACTAAGCAGACAGTAAGTGCGGCAAGGTTCAGAAATGACAATGCGGTTCTTTCCCTGTAGTTCACTACCCTCTGATTACACAGCTTCTCAGGCATTGTTTCTAAGTGTAGACGCTGTTGGAATTGATACAAAGGCTCACTCAGTGTCCTCATCTCTGCTGTGGTCCTGGGGATCTGAGCTAGGGCTCACGCGTAGGCAAGCGTTCTACCTCTGAGCTGTATGTCCCCTGCTAACCATGCAGTGGTGGCTCACACTCAGGAGGCAGGCAGATCTCTGTGAGTTCGAGGCCAGTCTGGTCTACAGAGAGAGTTCCAGGAGAGGCAAGGCTATACAGAGAAACCCTGACTTGAAAAATAAAAAGAAAACAGAAAACCCCAAAAGATTAATTGTGCTTTTATCTCATTTCATTTCACTTTATGTGTTACTGGTTGTTTCTGAATTTGCCTTTTAGCTCTATTGAGCCTAACACGGACATACTCCCCGTGCCTAGGATGGAGCCTGGCATTCAGGCAGAACACATGTAGGTTGTGAGCTTCCAGCTTCTGTGAACTATGGGATGTGGGGCCATCACTGAACCAGGAGTCCGTGGATTAGAATCAGCCTTGATTTAGAAAAGAAAAACAGAATAGTAAGCGAACAGGTATCGTTCGTGAACCTTCATTAGGCATCTTTTAGTTGAGCCGTGGAAAAATCAAAACGAATAAGCAAGCAAATGTTTAGCTTGGCTGTTTTCGCTCTTTTGTTTTATTTGGCAAGATCTACTTCGTTTAGGAGGGAGAAAGAAATCCAGGACAACATGCAGCTGACAAATAGCCCATCCCTGCGGACTTCCACAGTCAAAGGCTAAACTTCAAGGAAGGATACATCCACTGTAGAGTTCTAGGATTTAGAGAAAACGGGGGAAGTTAAAATCAATTACAAAAGCCTGGGGCCTGGCTGTCTGCCACTTGGACCCAGGTGCTGATAATCCCAGTGCTCTGGAAACGTGTCTTAAGCATCTTCCTGGCTGATAATGAGATTTTAAAAAAAATCTTGCATAAATTCCCTGCCGCTGGGAACGGCCCCTGATTTGCATCTAGGAAGCTTGAACTGGCTGCTTCTCCAATCTTCTGTTAAGAGCTGAGTGCTTTGGGCCAATGAGACGCGACCATTCTGTTTCCATAGTGATAAAAGAAACAAACCTCCCGCCATCTCCCTACAGCAGGCTCTGTCAAAGGACTCTGGGTAGAGGGTGGCTTTCTCTCCAAGTGTGACTTTCACTGAAATACCTGGGGACAACTGAGCTGTCTTCTAAGGGACGCTCCTGGCATGCCTGCTCAGCCCTTCTGAAAGCCTTCGTCTGGGTCTGCAGGTCTTCACCGTCCTGTGGCTTTCGGCCTTGGCATCTCAACCCCTTGGGGGATAAACATCTTGATTTGCTGTAAAATGAGCCCTGATTTTGTTCTGATGAGGTCTCGTTTCCCTAAAAGATTACGGTTTCTTTAAGACTCTCAGCGTGGAAAGGAACCACAGGGAATGAATCTTTGAAAGAATTAAGGTAAGATCGTAGGAAGATTTTCCAGTGGGCTGTTTATGACTCAGACCCTGTCTGAAGCTCTGTGGCTTCACTCCCGGCCTTGAGGGAAACACTGGGGAGAAAACACCGGAAAGGAAAAGAAGGGGAAACACACATATACCACACACACACATACCACATACCACACACACACATATCACACACACGTACACACACAACTACATACCACACACATACATCACACCACACACACAACCACATACCACACACATACACATATCACACACACACAACATACATACACAGACACATACACACCCCACACACCTCACACTCTCTCTCACACACACACCACATAACACACACACATATAACACACACACCAAATAACACACATACACATACAATACACACACCAGTAAACATGTGCCCAAAGGCTCTCCAGGTACCCCATTCCACCTTGCTTGTCCCGTTCCTCCCACATCTCAGCCCCACCTCATGACTTGTCCACATCTGTTCTGAGGGCTCATTAGTTTTGGATTACTGGTTTTAAACGCTTTGAATATGATCCCAGAGGATGCCAAAGGAACTTTTTTAAAGCACAAATTGATAAGCATCGAGGCATTTTTATACTGAGGAAGAAGGAAACAGACATTTATCAATACGAAACTGGTTAAAATAGAAATAAACGCAGCCATAGAAATTCCCAGTTGTGGGCCAAGAGAAACGGCTCAGTGGTCAACGGTGCTCGCTGCTTTTCCAGAAAACCCTAATTTGGTTCGGAGCAACCACATTTGGTGGCTCCCAATAGCCTGCCACTCCAGTTCCAGATTTCTAAGCTTCTCTTCTGGCTTCCATGGGTTCCTGAACACTCGTGACATATACCCACACAGACAAAAACACATACACAAAATCAAAATAAATCTTTTTTTTCAGTTTTTGAATTGCAATGATATGGAAACTGATCTTGACTTACTTGAAAGATTGTTTTAAGTTTGCTTTAAAAATAATATGATGTTGGCTGGGTGATAGTGGTGCACGCCTTTAATCCCAGCACTCAGGAGGCAGAGGCAGGTGGATCTCTGTGAGTTCAAGGCCAGCCTGGTCTACAGAGCGAGTTCCAGGACAGCCAGAGCTGGGCTGTTACACAGAGAAACCCTGTCTCTAATAATAATAATAATAATATGTTGGAGGAGTGAAATGGAGTGGAGGTGGGGTGTAGACGAATAAGATTAGTCACACTGACAACTATTAAAACTATGGGATGGTTTCTTATTCTTTTTCTACATTTGGCTTTTTTGAATTTCTTGATTGCAAAAAGCTTACATTTTGAAAATGAGGGCATGTTACATTTCTGCGTAATAGAAACTCATGGCATTATCTTATAAAAATATATCTGGGCTATAAATATAGTTTGCTTCTGTTTGCAGAAAGTTTTGTAAATCTATTCGTTTAGAACACAGAAAGTTCTGGAAGGTATTCCTTCAAATATTTCCAGTGGTCAGCTTTGGATGTTACATTTTTTATATTTTTTTTTACTTTCTTGGTGTTTTCTGTTGTGGCTGTGTCTAAAATGAGCTAATTTCATCGTAATACACACACACAAATAAACCTATATTCCTGTTTTTTAAAAAGAAAAAATAGTATAAAGGAGAGTCTCTATGTGTATGCCACTGCAGTTCACAACAGTCATCTCTGTGTGCAGGACCAAGAGCCTCGCCTAGGTCTCATTATGTGCAACCCGGCACGAACCAGCATGGGCAGGATTTTTAAAGACCAGGCAACAGGCTCAACAAAGCAGGTTTCCTGCAGTCCTGTATCTAAGGTGTAGTCATGCCTACCCGATCTTAAAACCACAGGTCTGGGGGTGAGTACCGAGACGGATCTGGTATGGAAAGTCAGCTCCCTTCCTATCAATGCCGTCAGGAAGCAAACCTCTCCACGTCTGGAGTAACCTGACAGCTGCCTTCTGTGCAGCTGCCCTGATAGGAGCTTGTTCTCCGTTCCCTTCTGCAATTCAGGTAGGCGACCCGAACTGAGAAGCAGGGCGACTCATTCATGCCATCGCTGGAGACGTAGAGCCCATTTCCCAGGATGTTCTGCACAAGGTCCGCTGTGGGGAATCTCTGTCAGGCAGAGTGAGCGGGTATGAGCTTGAGGAGGAACAGGTCATAGGGACGGAGGGAATACGGGCTTCCAACCCTGCCATGTGCTCCGTGACATCTCTGTCACCTAGAAGCCTGGGTAGCAAGAGCTGAGCAAGCACGCTATCCTCGAATGACGGTGGTAACTCCACTGTGGACAAGGTTTAATTGCTTAATTGCTTTCAGGTCAAGGGGCCAACTGCGAGACATCATCCTGCAGTAGAAGCCTACATTAGCTCATCCTCCACCGTGGTTCTTCCTGCTGCCCCTTGATCCTTCCCAGTCTCTGCTTGCTTTGATTCTGCATGGTTTAACTCTCTGTGGTTCTTTTCTCATCCCAGCAAGAGTCCCTGACCTCGCAACCAAGACTGCATCTGACCCTGGCCATAGCAACCAAGACTGCATCTGACCCTGGCCATAATGTATCCCAATTCTCTCATCTACTGCACCTGCTGGGACCCCTGGAACTTGGGACCACGGAAGCTAATCAAGACCCCTCATCCACTTCCAAAGACCCTCACAGGAAAGCCTAGGTAGGAATAAGCCGGGTTGGGCTAGGTACAGGAAGTGATGGTTTCCTTTGCAGTTGTCCCCTTTGTCTTATAAGGTTCCCCAGTGGATAACTTGCCACAAATTCCCCACAGAACAGGAAGCCCAGTTTTCCGCCTTCCTGGCCAGCCTGGATGCTGTCCTGATCTTGCAGGCCTGTCTGAATCAATATTTCAGTAAAGAAGACTTGACTTTGCAATTTTGCAGTACTCTATGTGTGTGTGCGTATGTGCGTGTGCGTGTGCGTGTGTGTGTGTGTGTATGTAAAACACCCAAACAGAGCGAGCTTTAGTGGCAGCTGTCCCGAGTGGCTTTGGGGCTTGCCCTGGTAACCAGGAGTTCTTGGAGATAGTAGGCAAGGACAAGTAGGAGAACTCCTTGGACCCAAGGTCTTCAAGGCCTCGAATCTTCCTGATACCAGTTATCACTTCATGGATCCACCATGGATATGCCCTCATTGGGGAGTGCTGAGGCATGTTTTCTAATTCCCAGTGTTTATGTCTTGCTTTCAGACAAACTCATCTTACACCAGTTTCAAGGGAACGCAACTACCTTCAGTCCCAACCAACCAAACCTGTTGTTTCCCCAAAGTAAGTACATATAGCTCGTGAGGCAATGAATACAATAGTCAACAGACACACGAGGAATTGACTCACCCTCAGAGAGCTGCAGGGTGTAGCTCTGGTCACATCCGTTTTGGATATCTCTATCACTGAGGACCTGTACCAACAGATTTCCCAACTACCCAGGGGGTCACACACACACACTCACACACGCACACACACACACTCACACACACACAGGACCTTCATGCTGACTTTAACTAACTTGCTACCAGGGATGTCAACGATTTGCCAAAACCCACTGATTTTTCCTCAGACCAAATCCATGGTGATTTTAGCTCAGAGAAGGTGAGGAAGCAGTGTCTGGCAGAAAGAGCATAGCCTACAGAGAGTTGCCTGGTCCCTGGAGAGTGGGAAGATGAAGCAGCCGGGTGGAGGATGGAGGTCGTCAGGTAGCTGCATGAGATGAAGAAGTTCCTTCACCTGTATTCTCCAAGTAGGGCCAGTGCAGTTATGAGGAAGAGTGTCAGTGAAAGAGATGTGACCACTGTGAAGATGACCCCTGGGGACACGGGGAGCCTCTAGAAGCTGGCAAGGACCAGGAGTCAGTTCCCCCTGGGAGCTCTAGGGTGCAGCCCCACCCACATCCTCTTTGGACTGCCCGTTCATGAGGCCCTGAACCGCTGTGTTCCCCAGCTACCCAGGGTTCCCCCAGAAGGTCAAGGGACTGGCATTGGAGGTGGCAGCCGCAGGGCTCGTCCCCTGAACTTGGCCTTTCGTCTGCTCCACTGAGTCTCCAAGCACGTCCTTCTCTTGCAGAGAAAAAGCCCAGGCAGAAAAGCTGGAGGAAGGCGGCAAACTTCCTTCTGTGAGTAGAAATGGGGTAAGAGCCAGAAGAGCGTTTATCTCGCATCTCCCCTGTGCAAGCACGGGGTTTTTACACACTCACTCTGCCAAATTTTAACAGAGAACCTATAGCATTAACGGTGCACGTTTTATATAGCTGGTAAGTGGCCAAACTGGAACTCTCCCCTATTTTGTGTGGGTCTCTGGGGGAGAACAGACAGTGGCTGTTCATGCTATGACTCATGCCCCAATACAGGAAGTCCTCTGCCATACCGGGAAGCCACAAATCCTGAGGCCGGGGCCATCAAGGCACCTAAAGCCAGCAAAGGCAAAGACAGACATGGGCCTCAGAACATGAGTCCCCGTGGTTCCGACATACGCATGAGACCAGGTTATATTTGCATTTTAGTTTTTGATTTTTGTTTTTCTTTTTCGAGACAGGGTTTCTCTGTGGTTTTGGAGCCTGTCCTGGAACTAGCTCTTTTAGACCAGGCTGGTCTTGAACTCATAGAGATCCACCTGCCTCTGCCTCCCAAGTTCCCAAGTGCTGGGATTAAAGGCGTGCGCCACCACCGCCCGGCCTATATTTGCATTTTAGAAAATGCGCTTTCTCGTAGACCACTTATTTTATCATTCCACCTGTTCCTCCCCTTCCTAAACAAGGACCACACAGTCCTTTAAAGGGCGGGAACGGTCAGGAACCAAGTAAGTGAAGAGAAACACGATAGTATCAGGTGGGAATGTCGTGTCACTGGGAGCCCAGGAGTGAAAGCAGATCAGTGGGGACAGGGTCTTAAGAGCCTAAGTGCAAGGGTTGTAGAGATGGCTCAGAGGTTAAGAGCACTAATTGAACTCAGCGGTCCTGAGTTCAGTTCCCACATGTTGGCTCACAACCTTACCTGTAATGAGATCTAGTGCCCTCTTCTGGCATCCAGGTATATATGCAGATAAAACATTGTATACATAAAGAATAAATAAATTAAAAAAAAAAAGAGCCCAAGCACAAGATGATGAAACCTCAGTTTAGGATGGGACTTAAAGGGAGGTGAGGGCAGAGATGCCAGTTAGGAGATGGTCACAAATGGCCTGGGTCACTTGTGGTACTGTAGGGTGTTCCGTATGTGTCTAGAAGCTATGACTGTAATGTTAGCCAATGGATGGCCTGGGTCATTTGTGGTAGTGCAGGGTGTTCTGTATGTGTCTAGAAGCTACGACTGTATCCATGTTAGCCAATGGCTCTGCCAGGATTCCAGCTTGGCAGCTAAGGAAGGGAGAAGGGTTAGCTCACTACATTGCCGCACCCATGCCAATCATTTCCTGGTGTGCTACTTGGTTGGTTCTCACCCTGGAAAACATCCTTTGCGGAAGTTATCATCACTGTTTTTTTTTTTTCTGGAGAGGAAACTGAGTCACAGAGATGTGGAGTAACACCAGGTCCAAATATTTAAAATTGGCCTATCCAATTCCAAACGTTGAGCAGTTCCCACAATGCCCGGCTACTGGCCGCAGTGGAGGATGGGGAGGAGGCATGGAGCGGTGTGGAGGGATCAGTTGGCACTGCTGAGCTTAAGGGGTCCCAGCGTGGGGGTGAGTGTTGGGAGTGGATCTGCGAGATTTGAGTGTAGCGGCTAGAGAAGGGGGCACAGAAGGGTCTTGGGCCCCGGAATCTCAGCACAGTGTCTCTGTGTATAAGAGATGAGGAGGCCCAGAGGAGGTGGAGAAACCTCAGCTCCTCAAGGCTTCTCTCCGCCTTCCACCTCGAGACCCAGGAGGTGATTGACGTGTCACCTGGCTATAAACTCATTCGAAATCGGGAACAGATTTCTGTCACCTTGGGAGATGAGATGTTCAGTAGGAAGAAGCACTTGGAATCGGACATCTTGAACAAAGTCAAGTTTTCCAGGTAAAGTCTTTGGATCAACACCAGTGTCTGAGAGCTGCCCAGTAAACACCTGATATCCACGTCCAGGTCCCAGGTCCCTGCTCAGAAACAGCCCAGCTAACATAACTTACATTAAAGAGGAAGGTGCTCCTGCCAGGGCAGGGACAGGTGAAATATTCACAAATAGTCTGGATCCTGAGTAGGGGGATTAAGGGCAAAAGCAGTTTCTCCATGACCCAGGGAGAACCCTTGAGAGGTTCAGACCCGGTCCATCCCGCTGAGGGCCAGCCATTGCCTTCCCTGAAGCCCCGCCTCTTTTGCTACCCTCTGACGTCACTCTCGTGCACGTACCCACACATTTCAATTCTACCTCCACGACCTCTCTTTTTATTTCCCCACTGTCCTACCTCAATTCAGACCTCTCACGCCTTACTGTATTCTAGGCGGCTCCCCCGGTGTCTCCTCCTTCCAGCTTTAGTCTGCCCTAGGAACTGTTGTTCTGAAGACTGCGGGGTCAGGCACCCTGAACACCAGTTCTGTGGAAGGAGGAGGGTTGTGGGGGCAGGGCCAGATAGATCTCTGTTGCAAAACACAGCCCGAGGTGGACCACGCAGCAAATGAGAGCCCGTGGAGGGTAAGGGAGGATGGCACCACGCAAACAGAGCTTACGTGGGAGTTTTGTTACGATAAAGGGAGTGAGGGGAGGGAAGGGAGGAAGAGGAAGAGGAAGAAGAGGCCTCTTCAGAAGAGCAATGGGAAAGAGAGCAGAAACAGGCGGAGTTTGTCCCTTTTGCACCTTACAGAATACATAATGGCTTAGCAGTCATAGGAGGGGGCGGGGCATCCTGCCACATGACGGGCCAGCTTAATGCGTGAATCCTAACAATTTCTCTTAGTTGGAGACCAGCCTGAGCAAGTTCCAGGACAGCCAGGGCTGTGATTCAGAGAACCTCTGTCTCAGGAAAAAAAATTTTTTTCTTAAATACTATATTGCTGTCTAACCCAGACTGGACACGAACTCACTATCCTCCTGTTCTTGAGTGCTGGCATTGCAGACATGGCCTCACACACATAATCATATAACCCTCCTCTTAGTCCCATCCATGACCACTCCTTGTTGACTGTAGACATACATCTTCCCACAGCTTCCCCGGTTCCTAATCCTCTGCCCTTCTCCCTCTTGCCTTTAGTTAGCAACAACCAAACTCCGATAAGTGCCCTGCACACTCTTATTTCTCCCCTGCTCAGCAGGACACCACGCTGCCCTCATCGCTTCCAGCTAGCTCACCCGAAGGGCCAGGCACGAGGTCCAGGCACTCTGTTATGAGATATCTTATTCGGAACCACCCCGAATAAGACATCCCGTGCTATAGCGGCGGAGCAGGCGACCTGGGGCTGCTCTGGTGGTGACGGAGGTGTTCGCCCCACAGGACAGACATCATCTCCGACCTTGAGGAGCAGATCTCCGAGTTGATGGCAATAATAGAGCAAATGAACAGAGACCACCAGTCTGCCCAGAAACTGGTGAGTGACCTTGGCACTTACCACACCCTCAGGACTGACACTATCAGAACATCTGTGTGCCAGGCAAGATGCCAGGCAGTCTGCTGTAGTGAGCCGTGCTATCCGGGCACAGATTCTACAAAGAAGACGGTGCACTGAGCAATATCTCTCTGCCTGCATCCTCCCGCTGCCTCTGGCTATGGTGAACACCATCTTCTCCAACCTGGGGTCACTAGTTACTCCCCTCTCCTGCCTTTGTTGTGAGATACAAGCTGCAGGGGTTGCCAGGCTACTGATAATGACCCCAGCATGGAGGATGCCTTCAGTGTCCTGCAAAAGCTTCTAGGAAGCCCCCCCGGTGTCCACTCTCTAGTACTTACTATTAAGTTCTTGGGGCCCTTTCTTCAGAAGCAGCACAATCCCAGTCCCCCCCCCCACACCCACCCTCTTTTCCTTACTCGCCCTCTCTTGCCCACACCCCACCCCCATCTGCTCCTCAGAGATGGTAAGGCCTCCCCTGGGAAGTCAACTAAGTCTGTCCCACCAGCTCCTTGAGATCATCTATTGTCTGTGTTTTTTTTGAATGTTTCTGACTTCCTTGGGTTGGAGTTTTCCTTGTAGTACTTTCTATAGGGCTGGATTTGTGAACAGGTATTGTTTTAAGCTGGTTTTGTCATGGAATATCTTGTGTTCTCCATCTATGGTGATTGAAAGTTTTTCTGGGTATAGTAGTCTGGGCTGGCATCTGTGGTCTCTTAATGTCTGCATAACGTCTCTCCAGGGCTTTCTGGCTTTCATTGTCTCCAATGAGAAGTCAGATGTAGTTCTGATAAGTCCGCCTTTATATGTTACTCAGCCTTTTTCCTTTGCAGTTCTTAACATTATTTCTTTATTCTGTATGTTTAGTGTTTTGGTTATTATATGCGGCCGTGGTTCTGGTGATCGCTCTTCTAAGTGTAGGTGGAGCTGAGGTTCCATTGGTCACTGTGGCAGCAGGGTTTCTTGTATCGAGAGGGGCAGTGGATGCCGGCTGTGGCACGGGTGCTCTTTCCCAGAGGAACTCCTCATGATTCTCATGATAGTCCAGAAGCCACTGGGGGACACCGCTGCTGCTTTGGCTCCCAGAGATCACTGCTGCTCTCAGCGGGTCACCTCTGATGCCCCTGGGCGGGTCGCTGGGTCCTCTGACATTTGATGCATTTTAAAAGCAGGTGACCTTTTTAACATTTTGGTCATCGGCTCTGATTTGATCCCTTCTTCCCCAGCTCAGGCAGGTGTATATCTGGTGACCAGGGCTAGCCTGAGAATCCAGAGTCACACCAGGAACACACACCCTGCCTGGTGTTGCTGCAAAACTCTCCCTCCCCATAGCAGCCTCTCAGACTGGGTTGTCCCAGCCCGTTTGAATCTTACAGTGAGCCGCCTCGTGACCAGACCTTTCCTGCCTCCGATCTGTTATCTTGTTACCCTGCCGTTTTGATGTCTTCTCCTACAAAAGGGAAACTGAGGTTTGAGAAACTTGCATCCTCTGTGTAAGATGGCGGGACTTCAGATAAATTCACGTTTGGCTTTCCAGCCCAGGCCCCATGAAAGCGTTCCTATTCGTGAGATGGTGGTTAGGGATAAGACATTTCTGAAAGAGTCACTAACACCACAGACAGACAGATAACAGCAGGCAAAGATTCTGAAAAGGCCACACCCCATGGTCTCAGCAGGCTGGGACTCTGAAAATCGTCCACAGTGTGGGGACGATTGTTCTTCTCCTAGGATCCTGCAGCCAAGATGGTTTAACTTCCCAGTAGAGGCAAGGAGGAGAGTGAGGGGGGAGTGTATGGCCACAGGTAGGCCTTTGATGTGTCTGCAGTCTGACGGCTGGTTCTTTTGGACTTTGTTGCTAAATAAGCTGTTTATAAGTGTGAACGAATCCAAAGACGACGCCACACAATGAAATGACCGAAGGAACTAGGTGGTGCCTAGGCACCGCCTTGACGATCAGGCAGGGGACCCTCCCTGAGTGTGCGCCCTCAGCACCGCAGAGCCCACCCAGGAGAGACCGAGGCAGGCTTCCCCTCCGAAGGAGGGGGGCTTCACGTAAATCGGAGCCAGCCTAGTCCTGCATGTGACATTAACACTGGCCCCATTTCCAGCTCTCCAATGAGATGGATCTCCGCTGCGCCGAGATGAAACAGAAGTTCGAAAACGAGAACAGGTAGGCTTCCTGGCAAAGGCGCATGGGCAATGCCTGGACGGGATCCCGGTTCCCTGAGGGCTCCCAGTGGTGCCAAGCGCAGCTGGTTGCTGTGTGTGAGCGACGCGCATGACTTCAGAGAGCAGGGCGGCTTCGTATGAAGCCGCTAAGATGAAGCCGTTTGTGCTTCGTGTTCCTGCTTTTCCATCATGCATCCTTTTCGTTTCCACTGTAATATTTCTTTTGATCGGTTGCTGAGAAAAGCCGTTTTTTTTTTGTTTTTTTTTTTTGTTCTCCACAAAATTTTGTCGTACACGATCTGTTGTGATCCTATTCCCCCCTCTCTCCCCTCTTCCTCTCTTTTTTCCTCCTCCTCCATCCTGCTTTCCCTGATCTTGGCCAACAAAGAAAGAGATGGGGGGAAAGGAACAGAGCAAGTCCGAGGGAGGGAGAAGGGAGTGTGTTGTCTGTGAGGGAGAAGCATCTTGAAGCCCATGCTGGCTTCTGGAGGAGATTCACGTTTGTCACAATCGATGAATCTGCATTGGTACATGGTTATCACCTGCTCAGGGGTCAGCCCTGGTGCAGAACACGCTGTGTGTTTGGAGAAGAAGCGTGTGCAGACACGTCTTCACTGTGAGAGTGTTGGACAAAGGGGCTTTAGGATTTATCTCAGCATGCCCCGCCTACTGGTCCCTCCCCACGCCCTCCCAAGGCAATGCCTAGAAACCACTGATTGGTCTGTCATCTCCACAGATTTTTCTTGCCTAACATTGGGATAGTACAGCATGCAATCTTTGCAGATTAGCCTTTCTCCTTTAGTGATATACGTTTGTGTCTTTCATCTGATTTATGGCCTGGAGGCTCTCACTTTGATACTCAGACCTTATCAGCGTATGGATCCTGGCTGGACCTGGGGTTCTAAACTTATCCTGGGTGCTTCTGTAAGTGAACTGTAAGCAGCAAGTGTTGACTGTTGAGGTCTCACAAATAACAGTGATTGTAAGAAACATCTCACTCTGGATAGAAGGCAGGAGAATGCTCCAGGAAGTGAGGGTACCACTTCGATGAGTGTGCACATGTATGCGTGTGTGTGTGCATGTATGTGTGTGTGTGGTGTCAGTGCAACAAATCAACTCTGAACCTGTGTGTGTGTGTGTGTGTGTGTGTGTGTACACTTGGTCACAGTGTGCCTGTGGATCGCAGAAGACCGCTTTTGGAAGTCAGCTCTTTCCTTCCGCCATGGCTTCCAGGGGTCGAGTTTAGCTTCCATGGCAAGCCCCTTACCTGCTGAGCAGGCTTGCCGACTCTGGATTTCTGTTCACTGATTTGTCCCACAGGGATCTCCAAAAGGCTCACAAACTGGAGCTCGAGAAGTTAGAGAACAGCTACAAAGATGCCCTGAAGGCGGAAAAAGCTTCTGCCCAGGAAAAGCTAGGTACTATCAGACTCTGGGAGGTTAGCACAGCCCAGAGTCTAAGATTTCCTTTCCAAAGCCCAGGGGATGAGGTACTTGAGAATGACACTGGAAAGGGAGAGCCATGCCCTTGCTTTGCTCTGAGGATATGTTTTTATCTGCAAAGTGAGAATGTGAAATGTTTTAAGTGCGTTTTAAAGTTTTAAAATTATATTATCGTTATAATGTCTTCAGGTTTGCTCCCACGTAAAATGATAGTGTTTTGTTACCTCCTGATTGATACACTGTGATTGCAAGGTTCTGTAGTACATAGGGCTGTACTGAGCGGATCACACTGCTTACAGCGCCCTTAGAGAGACCAGTGTCTGCACCGTTCCGGTTCTGGGATTATAGTCTAGCGTCCACAGAGGGAAGGAGAAACCCTACGCTATAGAGTCTATACTACAGTCCTTTCTTTTACGTTAGCATCTTATTTATACTTCGCCTGCTTGCTAATTTCCTCAAGAGAGCGTGTGGTTTTCAGAACCGTCATAAAGGGAGAAACGTGGCTAAAAAGAGAAACGGATGCTCGCTGGGAGGTGGTATCCTTCCTCCTGCAGACAAGGATTTACTCCTGGGAGCTCCTACGAAAAGGACTTGTTAGTTTCAACATCTCTGAGAAGCCTGTTTGTCAGAAAGTACCCGGAGGTTCTCCATCAGTCAGCTCAGGCAGGGTCCAACATCCGGGCTTTTAGTAAGCTTCCAGAAGCAGCTGGGAATCGGTAAAGATTTTATCAGCTGGGAGGAGCAGGGGCGTGGTGCTGAGGCATTCACGCGAGGTTTGGAAAGGGCGCCTGTCAGAAAGTGATGCCCTTGTTTTCTTTCTTTTCTTCCAGAGGACATGGGCAAAGAGTATAAGTACCTGAAGAATATGTTCCACAGGTATCAGGTGAGATTCAGAGCTGTATGGTAGATTCGGAGAGAAGCAAGGCTCATTCCTGGCTGACCACGTGGGAAGAGTGTAGATCTGTTGAGATTCTCAGATCCTTCCTCTGGTGCCACTGTGGTACCTAGCGGCCACCACCACAGCGTTGCTATGAACCCAGCAGGAAGCATGAGTCGCTTGACAAACCAGCCATGCAAATCTGAAGAGGCCCGGAAATGTGAGCCTATTTCCACGTTGACCGAAGTTCCAACCAGAGAGTGGAAACTGACCTCTAGTTCCTTCAAGGTTTTTGTGCTTCTGCCCCAAACGAAGGTCCAACCTAGCTGTAGACCAGACAGTTCTGCTCTCTCAAGGTTATTGTTAACAGGTGTGGCTAATAACCAAACCTTGCACTTCAGGAATAGAGAAGCAGATCTGTTCCTACCTCAAACAAAAGTCTAAGACTCCAATTAAAGCTTCAGTTCCCTTAAGGAGATAACACTGGATTGCACCCACGGAGTGGTTTGCCTACAGAATGTTTTGGTCTAGGGTATGAGTGTGACTTGTTTTGTTCTAGCAACAGAAGGCTTAACTGTGGCTACAGCCCTCAACCTTCAATTGGTTTGTTCTTTCCTTGTATCATGTTAATGTAATTTTTTTGTCTTACCTTTTGGGGTCGGGGTATTTTAAGCAGTTGGAAATTAAACAGGAGCAAATTTCAGTACTCACTGGAATTCCCTCCCGATACCACTCCATCTTTCTCCATCTTATTATTTTCATTCACGTCTTCATATTCTTTGCCATATTTCTAATTCCCAATGCTTCTACCCTGGTGAGAGGTACTTTTGTCGAGACTGGTCCCTGACACAAATCTACTGAAAAAAAAAATGTTTGTGGTCATCACAGTAATAGCTGTTGACTGTTTTTCCAAAAGGAAGTGGGGGAGAGGATTAGGGCTGGAGAGATGGCTCAGCAGCTGAGTTCTTGCTGCTTCCAGAGGACCCAAATTCAGTTCCCAGCACCCACATGGTGGCTCAAAACCATGTATAACTATAGTTCCAGGGGATCCAATGCCCTCTTCTGCTTCCTCAGGCACCAGGCACACAGTAAGCACACAGACATACATGCAGGCAGAACACATAAAACAAGTACATCCGTTTCCCCCCCGCCCAGTGGAAATAACCAACAACAGCAACACCAAAAAGAAAGAATCGCCACTCCCCAGAGATGACCCTGCAAACACCTGTGCTTAGTCTCAACTTTCACTGAGACCGTGGTATAGCGAATCTAGGTCCATTTTTGTATCTTCTTCTCACTGGGCATATTGGTGCCTGTGCCTTCTTTTTCGTGACTGCTCTCCTAGTGAACGGGCCTTGGGGATCTCACTGTCCCCTTCTAGGTGACTGTGTGCTATTTCCATCACTCGGCGTATCAGGAAATAGCACTTTGAACATCTTTGGTCCTAGCCGTGGAGTGCTGGTCAACGGAAGGGACATAGTTCTGGCTTTTCACAGAGTTGTTGACTTGACGCAAAACGGAGTCATCTGGGAGAAGGGAAACTCATTGGAGAAATTGCCTCCTCCATTGCCTGTGGACAAGTCTGTAGAGCATTTTCCAGATTAATAATTCATGTGGGAGAGCCCCGCCCACTGTGGGTGGGGCCACCTCTGGGCAGGTTAGCAGGCTGGGCAAGCCACAGGAGCAAGCCAGTAAGCAGCACTCCTCCAAGGCCTCTGTGTCAGCCCCTGCCCTGGTATCTCCCAGGGATGGGCTGTAACTTGGGCGTGTAAGCCAAACAAACCCTTTCCTACCCAAATTGCTTTCGATCAGACTGTTATCGCAGCGCAGCAATAGAAAACAAAATAGGACGTTTCCCCGAGTCTGATGAAGTTCCCGTGTCGGAGCTCTCTCCCAAGTGATTGCGGAACTGGGCGGGATTCTCTGATACAGGGAGCCTTACTTGTCTCCAAAGGAAGTCGGGGTCCAGCTTGGCGAATGCTGCTGGTAGACGGCCCTTGACCCCTGGGCTTATCCCAGCTCTCCAGCGAGTTTAGCTGGGATCGTTTTTTTTTTTTTTTGTCTTAAGGACCACCCACCCAGGAGCCCCCGGTGAGCCCCCCCCCATGCTATGCCGAGCACCCAAGGACGCAGCCACAGTCTCTGCAGTGTCCCCCACGTTATAGCTCTATCCATTGCGCCTCTACAGGACAGCATTTATGATGAGATGGAAGACAAGTGGACAAAGCGGAAGGCAGAATGGGAGAAGGATGAGAAGCTGGAGAGGGAGAAGATCCTGCTGCAACAGAGTGAGTACCGCAGAAGCTGAGGGCTTTTCCCCGGGAGTATCAAAACAGCGCACGCCTTTAACCCCGGCACTCAGGACAGGAGGGTCTCTGTGAGTTCGAGACCAGCCTGGTCTACAGAGAGAGTTCCAGGACAGCTAGGGCTAAACCACACACTGAAGAACTGAGATAATCCCATGTGGCTACCGTCACAACACGCAGGAGGAGTTGACCTCCCCAGCTGAGGGTCAGAGCGTGCAACCCGTGTGAAAGGCCCTCATTGCTTCTTGATTCAGTCATTCTGGGGCTTTCTCTCTGGCCCATTTCCTCCACATTTACACTCAAACCTGCTTTGCTCTCTCCTCCGCAGAACACAGGATAACAAAAAAGTTTGAGCTAGAGTCGGAAGAAGAAAAGAGGAAAATGAATGAATCCTTCAGTGCCGTCTTCGAGAACTTCACCCGAGAGAAAGAGGTAACAGAATGCTCTCAGGGTGAGAGTGTGGTCCAGGTGGTGCAAGCAGTTGAGCCTTCTGGGTCTACATACTTAGGTGACTGTTTGTCCCCAATAGACACGCTTCTCCTTCAAGTTTTCTGGAAATATATGCAAAAATAATGACCGTTCTAGTTTGCTTTTGGTTGCTGTGATAAGCCATGACCAAAAACAATATGAAGGAAAGGGATTGATTTCATCCTACAGGGTTGCAGTCCCTCATCAGCTTCTAATGTAGGAAATCAAGGCAGGAACCTGAAGCAGGGACTACAGAGGAACACTGTGTACTGACTTACTCTTTCATGTTCAGCTGCCTTTCTCACACAGCCCAAACCCACCTGCCTAGAGAGGTGACCGCCCACCGTAGGTTGGGCTGTTTGACATCAATTGGCAGTCAAGGAAATGCCCATATGCATGCCCTCTAGCTGATCCGATGGAGGCAATCCTCAAATTGAAATGTTGGAGCAACCAACTTTGGCTAAAGCCTAGAGTAGCTGACAGATCATTTTCAGAGGCAGGAACATTTTCAGAACCATCTTACCCTCTCTTGGCAAGGCTTGGCAGTCTTTTTTCTTGTATCCTGCTTGTCCAGTCCAGACTATATATATACTAAATAAGATAGTCACAAAATATTACTTCAAAATGCCACATCTCCATTGATAATGCCGTAAGTTCAGTGAGTGTTGTATTCTTGAACCCTTGAGCGGCTTCTTAATTCTCTAAAAGAATACCCAGAACCACAGTACTGACTTTTTCAAAAACTTGTTTTTAGGAGCTCATTAAACAGCATGATGAAGATCTGTTGCAAATGCAGGAGCTGAGAAAATCCAAGGAGGTAAGCATCTCTGTGCAACTGGTATCTTGCAAATGATACACTCTCGGGAAAAGTAAAAGCCATTTTACTCAAAGAAGTCAAATGAATGGAGTGGCGAAACCCATGTGTTGGGCTCACTAAGTCATAATGACTCTTGAACTGTATGTAAAGCAGATGCAGCCCTTCTCAGAGCCAGCTGTGAGCAAATACATCAGCAACAGACTGCGGGATCAACCATGTTGAATAACTTAAAACACAGAACTTTGAATCACAGAACACCATGTTCTTCCCTCGGAGCCCTGAACCTTCCAAATGTCTCCAACAGAACCTTGTTGCTAAGCCCCTCCTTTGGGTGTACCTTAGACACGGTGGTTTCTGCAGGGCTCTCTTCTGCTGGGACACACAAGGTCATTTGTGAAGGCAGATGAAAAAAAATATCTGTTAAATAAAAGTAATTTGTGTTTTTCGTTTTCTCTGAAAATGTAATTTGTGTCCAGAATAGACATGCCACTGAACAGGCATCATGAAGAAATCTTATCTTCAAGCCCAGGCAGGACCAGCAATGTAAGGGCCAAACAAACTATAGCATTCGAACAAGTCCAGAGAGTGGCCTCAGAGCCAGGGAGTCCTAATGTAATCTCAGAACAGCTCTTGTGAGCGTCTCTACTAATTCTGTCTGAGGCTATAATCCCTGAGTCTGTTTCCATTCTGATTTATTTGTCTACAAGTCTGCTGAGCTTTGAGTAGGTGCTGGTCATTGTGTTGCTTACTACTGTGAAGAGATACCATGACCACAGGAACTCTTGAAAAGGAAAACATTTAATTGGGACTGGCTTACAGTTCAGAGGTTCAGTCCATTATCATCATGATGGGACATGGCTGCGTGCAGGCAGACCTGGTGCTGGAGAAGTAGCTGAGAGTTCTACATCTTGCAGGCAGCAGGAAGTGAACTGTCTTACCAGGCATGACTTGAGCATATGTGAGACCTCAAAGCCCTCCCCCTCAGTGACACACTTCCTCCAGAAAGACCACACCTCCTAACAGTGCCATTCCCTTTCGAGGCCAGCATGGTCTACAAGAACTAGTTCCAGGAAAAAAAAAAACTTTAGCCATGTGGTTGTGGCTCATGCCTTTAATCCCAGCGCTCGGGAGGCAGAGACAGGCAGATCTCTGAGTTCGAGGCCAACTTAGGCTACAGTTCCACAACAGCCAGGGTTACGCAGAGAAACCTTGTCTTGAAAAACCAAAATAGATAGTTAGGGAGATAGATAGATAGATAGATAGACAGACAGACGTGTATATAGGTGATGACAGATAAGTTAGATAGATGATAGATAAGATAGATAGACAAATAGATAGATAGATAGATAGATAGATAGATAGATAGATAGATAGACAGACAGACGTGTATATAGGTGATGATAGATAAGATAGATAATAGATAAGATAGACAAATAGATTGATGATAGATAAGATAGCTAGATAGACAAATAGATAGATAGATAGATAGATAGATAAGATAGATGATAAATAGGCAGACGACAGAGACAGATAGATAGGTGATAGATGATAAATAAGATAGATAGATGATTAGATAGATGGATAGATAGATAGATAGATAGATAGATAGATGGAGAGAGATAGAAGAAAATAAAGGACCACACCTGCAAATGCATGCTGGTGACCCGTGACTACCGGCCCCGGCACTCTGATGATAGACTGATGGACAGAACACAGGTGGGAAAGAGAAGGAGAAGGAAGGGCAGACAGCATGGCGGCTGGTCGGCTGTCAGTGATACAGGGAAAGTCGCCGAAGCTGACACACTGCATTCTATTCCACGCGTCCCCGAGAGGGAAACAGTCCTTGAGTTCCCTCCTGTCTCGGGGACCTTGCATCCGCACGACGTCCTGAGGCGGTTTCCTCTTGCGCAGATCTTGGAGGCCGAGTTGCAGGCACAAGCGATCGTCTTGGAGACACTGAACACGAGCCTCTACCACTGCCAGCTGGAACTCCAGAGAGAGGTGAGGCCTGGCTGGAGAGAGAAGGCAGTGCTGGCCACAGAGGAAGCCCAGAGCGTTGTGCTGTGCTGCCCAGGAGCCTTGCCCCCGCCCCGCTGGGTCTGGGGGAAGATGGCTATTCAAATTTATCTTTCAGAAAACCGTAGTGGGAAACCTGGAGAAACTGTTTCAGACAAAGCTTGCTGAAGCTGAAGAGAAGTACAAGTACACCATCCAGATCCTGACGGAGGAAAACATCTGCCTCAGGTACGGGGTACGGGGTACGGGTGCTGCCGCTCAGGGGACTTGGCTGAGTTACCCCTAAGAGTGGGGAGGGCATCATAGCGAGGGCTAGATCAAGACAAGCCAGCGACTCCCGACTTTTGCGAGCAGGCGTGGCACTGTGCCTGGACAGAAGCTTACCTGGGAGGTAGATTGTCTGAGGTGGGAGGTTTGTCTGTGGGGTATCTAGAGTCCTCTCCCCTCAGTCTGTTTTTGTGTGAAACACAGGAAGTTTGCCTATGGATCTCTGAATGGCTTTGTCTTGTGACTAAGGATTGTTTTTCAGAGTTGAATGGGTTTTAACTTTCAGATTTGGTTCTTCTGGTTCCTGTTGAGACCAGCTGCCAATCAGAATCACTATTTCCTGAAGGGGCTTCCTTTATTGTTTTTTTAAATTATATAGGTTAATTAGAGTGTGTTGTATGTCTGGAGGTTTATATATACATATACATACATATATTATTTTATTTCATATGCATCAGAGTGAGGATGTCAGATCCCCTGGAACTGGAGTTACTGACAGCTTTGAGCTGCCACGTGGGTGCTGGGAATTGAACCTGGGTCCTCTGGCAAAAGCATCCAGTGTGTTAAACACGGAGCCATCTCTCCAGCCCCTGAAGGTGCTTCTTAAACCACTAACACAGAAGATAAGTTACCCGTCGTCATGCCTATTTCCACTGGGAATATGATCACCCCAGATACCACATTTCATCAGGATTTTAACTATGACAAGGGAGATTACTTCCTCGGACAGGAGAAAAACCACACTTCTCTGCAAACACCCTGTATCCCGTCTACCCTTTGAGGCTATAGCAGCAATGTGCGGTTCTTCTTACAGGCAAAAGATGGTGACCAAGAGTGAAATGTCCGACATGTCGGCGTCTGCTACTCCTTGTTCGCTTGAGTCTGACTTGCCCAAACGTAGATAACGAACCGCGCTCCCCAGCTGTGTACGCTGCCACGCAGCTCCTACGGAACTACTACGGACTCCAGCAAGGCTTTCTGGAGAAAGGCAGATGGGTTGTTACGACTTTATTTTTGTCTCTTTTTTTTTTTTTTTTTTTTTTTTTTTTTTTTTTTTTTTTACAGTTTGCATTCTCCAGAATGGTTAGAAATGTTTGAAACCTTATCTCAATTGTATCGTGAATCTTCTGTGAAAACTGTTGTCGTCTGTCCTGGGGTTGAAACTTCTGTGCTCTGTGCAAATATTTCCTTTCCGGCTTCTTACATATTTTGATCGGAGACTGGCTTGAAGGGAATTCTTATTAAAGGATGCATTATGAGGTGTGAGTCTTGTCCCCCAAGGGCACATAGCAAGCACGAAAATTCATTGATTTAATTCCAAAAAAAATTTTCTTAGCTGATATATCATACGCCTTAGCCCAACGACTCAAGAAGACTAAGAGACGATTTACCCTGTCTCTGATCATCATGAGAATCTAGACACCCACAGGAGACCAACATCTACATGGAAGTGGGGTGGACACACAGGAACCCATCATGTAAGCAGGATGCCAAGGCCTCTGTGGAGACTTACACAAACCGAGGTGAACTCAGAGCCACGCCGTCCCTCATCACGACATTTCTTAGACTCATTGGATTGCCTGCCCTTTGATTAAAAAACAAATTCTGGTTTGGCTTTTTGTTTGTTTATCGAGACAGGGTTTCTCTATGAACCCCCCTGACTGTCTTGGAACTGTTAGGGTCCAAGAGAAGCCCCTCAAGGAAAAACCAGTCACGTATGCAATAACAAGATCACTTTATTAATTCCAACATTGGGGTGGCACATGGCAACCCCCAAGAGGGTCACAAGCTCCTTTGAAGCAGAGTTAGGGAAATTCCAGGGAGGAGGGATTAATCTGGGGCTGATTGGTGGGAGGTTCTAGTGGTTGGGGACCTTCCAGCTGCAGGGCAGGGAAAGCTATCTTTAGTTATCAGGAGACTGGGGATGGGGGCCCCTGCTGAGGCAGCAAAGGGGCTCTGGGAGCCTGCTGAGTTGGCAGAAGGCTGTAGGGCACCTGCTGATTGGTTGTTCCTACGTTGTGGTTTTCCTGAGGACCATCTCATTTTAGTGAACTGAAACTAAGGCTTGGACTCTATCAGGGCTACTAGGAGAACCCGTCGTGGCTCTGGTCGGCCTCCCCCCAGCCTCCTCCCATGCCTGCCTCTGCCTCCTGAATGCTGGGATTAAAGGCGTGAGCCACCGCTGCCTGGTCAAATGTGTTTTTCATGTGGAAGTGATTCTTTAAGTGCCAACTATGAATGTTGTTCCACAGCCGTGGAAGTCATTACTAGAGGCTGAATGTTTCCCACGCGTGAACATGCCATTTGTCAAGCAAACAAAAAAAAAAAAACAGAAACAGCAGAGGCCAACACAGCCATCCCCTAGAAACAGTAAGCTCAATTCACAAGTTGTTCTACTTTTTAAAAACCACCTTTTCTTCTCGCTGACGGTTTATTTATAAAAATATATAATTCTACCAACACAAATTCAGTAAAAATATATACTAAAGAATAATTTGTAGGACAAACAACTCAGTTTTTTAAAAAAATATAAAAATAGAGAAGAAACCTATACATTAATATGGATTGAAACACAAGCAAAATCCAAGATAAAGATCTTGCTAGATCATTATTCAAGCTGTAAAAAATGCAAGATTGGGAAATTTTAATACTGACTGTTCTTTGATGTTTTAAAAGGCTTAGCTACCGAAAAAGTGCCTCATCTTGCAGCACGATTAATAAAAACTCAGAGACTCATAGAAATGGGTTAAGTTAAATGTAAGAGCTAGTTGGTAATAAACCTGAGCAATAGGCCAGTTTGTAATTAGTATTAAGCCTCTGAGTGGTTATTTTAAAAGCAGCTGAGGGACTGGCCAGGACAGAAAAGTCACCGTTTACGTCTGGCACCTCACTGGGTGACGAATGAAGCATGATCCTAATTAGTCTTAATAATAAACACCTGGAGTCAGATAGTGAGGTAAGTGCTGAAAGATCAGAGAAGCAAAGGGGCAGCCATGGTCACTTCTTACCTACCCTGTTCATGCTCTGCCTTATCACTTCCTCCCTCCACCCAGCATTATCACTTCCTATCTCCTGTCTGTACAGACCTCCAGATCTCTATGGCAAGTGTTGGCAGAACAGAAACAAAATATCACGCAACATTTACCCATCCCTATGTTGTGTGTATGTGGGAGAGTGTGCTTTGGAGATCAGAAGATAACTCATGGGAGTCAATTCTTTCCTTCTACCATGTTGGTTCCGGTACACATCTCACCAGCCCTCATGTTCACCGTTTTTTAAAAACCAGAACGTTACGCATATTCTGAAGATGTAACAATATTAAAATTGATAAGTTTTACTTTCCCTCATGTGTATGTGTATGGTGGGGTTCTTGCACGCATGTTCATGTCCATAAGCATATGTGTGAGGTCCACAGGCTCTTGCGTGCACATGTGTGGTCTCCCTCAATAACTCTCCATCTTCATCATTGAGGCAGGGGCTCTTCTGGAAACCCAGAGCCCCACATTGGTAGTCTGGCTACACAGCTTACTCCTCCCTTCCAAGCGCTGGAATTATAGGAGGGTCAGTATGCCCACGGACATTTACATGGTCCTAGGGATTCGAACATGGGTCCTCATGCTCGTTTGGCAATGCTTTAACCACTGAGCCACCTCCTTATTCCAGTCAAGTTTAGGGATTCGAACATGGGTCCTCATGCTCGTTTGGCAATGCTTTAACCACTGAGCCACCTCCTATTCCAGTCCAGTTTAACTTTAACTGCACCAAGTAAACGTAGCTCTGCAACTATGTTTAAAGTTATTCCCTCCAGAACCCGAGGGCGCCTTTTCTTTTTATCACCGTGCAGGTCTCTTAACAGCCCTCGATTAATTGGGAAATTACCCTGAAGAGAGAGATATGCTCAGAATTATTGTCTGCAAAAGAAAACTAACCTGGAAGAATTACATGTTGCACAGAAAAAAAAAAAACACCCAGTGGTCAGCCCTGAAAACAGACATACAAGTAACAAGATGTACGCGGAGCCGGTTGTGTTTTTGAAAAAGATTATATATATTTATGTAGCAACAACTCATGAAGAAAAGAACTCATAAATTTGAAAGAGAGGCAGGATTATGTGGGAAGGGGTGAAGAGAGGAAAGGGCCAGGATAAATGATTTAGTAGCTCAAAATAAAAGAAATCATAAAAAATAAATTATAACCCACCAACCCCCCCAAAACAAAATGTGAGTGTCACCCACGTGGCGCACACATCAGTTGAGAGGGAAGAACAGCTTCTTCCGTAACGTGAAGATGGGCTGGGGCATCTGCTTCCCCATGTTCCTCCTGTCGTCCTTATTGCTCACGTCATAGTTTACGCCAGTCAGGATGCTGAGAATATCGTCACCTCTGAAACACAAAGCCACAGAAAGTGTTGATCCGGGGCACCATGGAGCTCACCGCCTCAGCAGCTGTACCCAAGGAAACCGCTCTAGTTCTGTCTCTCGGGATTTGAAGTTGTTGAGTTGCTGAATCAAGACCCTACACCCCAGCTATCCTGACAACTCAGTTTCCTGAGAGCCCACTGAGGTATCTGTGGTTTGCGTGGGATATCTGCTGATGGTGGGAAGCCTCAGCATTCCCAACAGAACCGAGCTCCTTCCCTCCTACTATGTGTGTTCCTTGCTGTGTCCCATGAATGGTCATCTGGGCCCCACAAGGGCCTCAACCGCTCCCAATGGCTTCTGCTTAGATCAGCACTGCTCCCACAGAACCGTGCGCAGATTTCTACCAATGTGTGGGCAAGTGAAAGTCAAATGCTTCCTGCTGCCATCTCCACCCCTTTGTCATCGACTGAGCAATCTTGTTGGGCAACCTTTTCATTTCTCTGTGTAGCTGACACAGATCCCACAGGACTCATGGTCTGTGTTACAAAACGAAGCCACCACACTGATGCCACGGTCTACTCTCCACACCCTTCACACACTGGAAATGTAAAACACAGATCTAAAAGAACCCCATAGAAGGGCTCCACATTGTTCAGCTGTTAGCCGGGTGGGCATTGGGGAACCTGAAAGATGGTGCCCTAATTGAACTGAAGGTGAACCCATGTCATAGGGATAGTGTCCCACATCTGTGGCTTAAAAGAAAATCAAATTAGTGGAAACATAGGGTCTCCTACTCTTTGCTACATCCTACAGTTTACTAGGAAGAGCAAAGACTAGAGAGCTTTTATAGGGTTTCTTTTCCAATTTTTTTAAAAATTATATTTACTTATTTGTATGTGCATGAAAGAGAGAGAGAGAGAGAGAGAGAGAGAGAGAGAGAGAGAGAGAGAGAGAGAACATGGCATACATGTGGCGGTTATAACAACTTGAGTAAGTCTCTCCACCACATAGGTCCTGGGGATCGAACTCAAATCATCAGACTTGGCAGCAAGTACATTGACCCACTAAGCCGTCTCGCCAGCCCTACACTAAGACTTCTGACAAAGCTGAAATATGTTACAGTGGATGATTTCCATCTGGGAAGACTCCCCAAAGAATTGGGATTGCCTCTGTCATGCTGCTGCCCAGAGACAGAGAGCTGGACAGTGTGATATTATCATCCTCTCCCGCTCTGTGGTGCCCTGGTTGCTGAACAAATGAAACTCCTCATTTTCACGTTTTTTCTCATCTATGAACTAAAGAGAGTAACATGTGCCCTCTCTTCGACTTTGCAACCATCCTGGAAAATATAACTATATGAGTTACATTCAGAGATGAAACACTCGCCATGGGTACTTCTTGCTACATATTATCTCAACCATAAACATCTTCTAACAGGCTCTGACTACAGCCGCGAGGTAGCATAACCCTGAGAAGGACCCGGAAGGCAAGACTCACAGAGGACATCTTTCTCTCAGGCTCTCGCAAAGTGACTGGATGTACCAGCTTCCACGCATGGGTTCTCGGTAGGAAACACAATATTTCACAGTAGCCATCCCCAGCAGAAAGTCAGCCTCATCTGGAATATAGTTCTTTTGAGATGATGAGTCCATGTCTAAGTAGTTGTCCCTCTCCGAGTCGGTCTCAACGGGTACAGCTTTATGGAAGCTATCCCCTTGACAAGCCTGAATGAAAAAGACTTTGGGTTTTCCAGCCAGAGAAGGACAATTTGAACCAGTGAAATACGATGTCAGCTCACGGATGGAGGCTTCCTTCCCATCGGTGCCGTAGATGATACCCTTGTCTCCGTGGGAGAGGATGCAGCAGATGAAGCAGTCTTTGCTCTCGTGGTCCATTCTTTGGAAGGCTCTTAGGATCTCACGGATCTTACTGACTGTGCAGTCTTTGTGAGACACGACCTCAAAATGAAGCTTTTTAAAGGTCTCAGTCAACGCTTCTGAAAGATAAAAGGGGAAACAATATATTACAAGAGTTCGCAGAACACAGCCCAAGATGGATAAAACACTAACAGGCAGGAATGAGAGCCTGGGATCCCTGGGCAAGGTCATCTGTCCTACTAACTGGAGTCGATAGGCACCTAATGTTCTCGGCGAAAGCACTGTGCCAGGAAGCTAGTTTGTTGAGCTCTTGCATCATGAAGATAATTTCTACTCTCATTCTTTCTGGCAGTTTGGCTAAAGAGAGAGTGTTCTTTCCAAATCCCCTTCCCTCTGAATTTTCATCTTAGCTTCCATGTTCGCTATTATGAGATTCAATGCCATTTTGATCCCTGGCTTCTTTATATAGTTGACTTATTCTCAACCTTCATTCTTCTTCCCTCTTAATTTCTAAGACGCAGCAAGCTCTCTCAGTCTGGAGACTGCGTCCTCTCTTCTTGGCTAGTTCTACTCCTTGTCTTCTTTATACGGAACTCGTGGTCACAGGTCAAGCATCTTTAACCAGTATCCCTGTTTTCTTATTCTCCTGTTCTGTTTTCCATTGTCAATTCTTTTCTGTCCAACTCTCTGAGACTTGATCTTCCACACTTGTATTGTTGCTCGTATATTTAAATTTTTTTATAATTATCATTTTGTGTGTTATGGGTGTTTTGCCTTGTATGTAGGTGTGTGTGCACTACATGCATGCCTGGTGCCCGCAGAGGCCAGAAGAAGACACTGGACCCCCCTGGAACTGAAGTTGTATACAGATGGTTGTGAGCTGCCATGTGGTCGCTGGGAACTTGCCGCGCACCGCGCCCCCGTGACTGCCCTCTGTGTGCTAGAACCCAGTTGCCGAGCTTCGGGCAAGGGGCTGGAGGTTGAAAACTCAAACACAGAGATAGACTGACACACGCAGCTCCCAACGCTGGTTTGGAAAGCCCCTCTTTATTAACACCATGTAGACTTAAATACACTGCAGTTAATGGTCAACAGGTGATCCTCTGATCCTCTAACTGGGCACAGCTTCTAGAAACTTACGTTAGAAGGTTCTAGGAGGGAAAAGCAACTGAAGGCCAGGACTCCTTTGTCCCAACATCTCCCCCCTAAATTTTTTATAAAACAGAAGACCCTCCTGTCTTAGGTCATCTCAGAAGAGTAAACCCTCACCGGTCTTTGGGAGGCCCCTTCCCTGTCTTAGGCGGGCTCTCTTCTGTAGAAGTTGCCCGTCTGCGGAGGAATCTTCATTGTTGGTGCAGTATTTGCAACCAAACCTTACTGGCCATCCGGGTCAGAAGTACTTGCTAAGTGACCTTATGCTGCTAAGTGACCATATGCTGCATTCTCATGGGTTGTCTAATCTTACACAGAATTCAAAAATGAATGCCCATGGCAACAGGTGTTGATTGCCAGCAATAGGATCCCCAATCACCACTGGACCCAGCCTCCCATTTGGGCTATGGTATTCAACCATCCTTTTGGCTAAACAGTTACAATCTGGTGTGATAATTCTAACATTTCAAGGGCTATTCAAGTAACCATTGAGTTGTTTCACCACATAAGAGGCATTAGCAATATTAACAGATGTCATACAAATGAAATAATCAACAAGACATTTGTTGTACTAGCCATAAGTCCACCTGCTCCTACAATAGCGCGGTCTCTTGATTTAAATTTGCTCTGCCGCAGACTCTTCAGCGTGTAGAGCCTAGAACGGCCACTGTCTTTTTCTTGACCCCAGAGGGGTCTGTGCTCCAGCTTGTCTCAGCTCCAGCACTTGTTGCGTTTGCTCATACTTCTGGCACTGCTGTGGCATCTGCCAGGCTAGGCACCCACTGGGCTGAGGCAATGTGCCTTCCACCATAGCCACCTAGCAAAGCTCTGCTCCAGCTGCCTTCTAGCCCCAGCTGCATTCGTTCTGGGTCCAAACTGTTGCATGGAGTGGAGCAGAATTCAGGAAAGCAGGCACTTGCTGCTCTGCAACCACTGAAGGGGGCCCCACTTAAACAATCTTTTAGGGAATTTGGGCATTGTCAGTCTGTCTGGCTACTTTCTGCTGAGTGGGGATGCTGCATTCTTAGGAGTATTTACTGCAATTTACTGCCATTTTCCAGCCGAACTCGGACGTGGGTCATGGCAACGGGGAAGAGGTAGAGGCTCCACCTCCCCACCAAGCTGCCGCTCACACTCCATTGCTACATATTAGGAGGTCTCGGGGATTCAAACTACATGAGTATTGAATAAATCCTTAGGCTCTCATCGTCTGTGGAGACAAAAACAGAACCTCCTTTCCAAAACATCAAATTCTTAAGCCCATATTTTAAAGCCAAAATACCTTTCTTAGCAGTTCCTAGAATCAAATGTCTTTCTCCAGTCCAGAATACAAAAGACAATACAATCAACATATCATACAGCTGTACACATTTATCTTTTTCAGCTATATACGTTCTTTCTATTTTTTCCTAATACATACGTCCCCTCTGGCTGGGGACAACCCTATTCATTTCCCATAACAGTGGCCAGGGAAGGGAAGGTAAAAGGGAAGTCTGTGGGTTTACCCCTTTGTCAAAGCAGAAGCAGGACCCAAAGAAAGGGCCAATTTCCCTCCATTAAGTTGAAGGACAGCAGCTACGGGTAGGTTGGAAGCAGCCAAAGGCTAGGCCAGGAGGTGGGCAGGAGTCCAGGATCCAAGCCCTGCAGGTGACATCACCACGGGGGCATCATGGGCTGAGGATTCTGCAGATAGGACATCACCACGGCAGAGATCGAGAGCATGATGCTTCTCATCATCTGCTTGCTGTCCTCCGAGCTCCGGGAGTTGGCAAAGCTGATAAAGGAACAGTAGACAGCCACCCAAGCACCCCATTTCAGCTTAAGCATGAGGCCGCACAAGCTAAAGGTCATGCCGAGGAGATGCACGTAGTCCGGGGTCGGGTCGTCCAAAGCTGTGTTGCACTCGCTCAGCAGAGGCTTATACCTCAGCACTTCGTTGGGTCTCCGTGGGTCGGAACGCTGTCTGCTTACCTCTCTTGGAACTGAACCTGGGTCCTCTGGAAGAGCAGCCAGTGCTCTTAACCACTGAGCCATCTCTCCAGCCCCCATTTTTTATATTCTGATACTATGAATTGTTTCATTTAACTTGTAAGTTCTCTATATTGACATAAACAGGCTGCTAGCAAAGCATTTCTGGCTCAGGGGAAGAGCACTTGATGCTCTAACAGAGGATTAGAGTTCAATTCCCAGCTCCTGCTCCAGGGGGATCTGATGTGTTCTTCTGAGCTCCTGAGGCATCCATGCACATATGGGCACACTCACATAGATAAATAAATTTCATAAATAAAAATGAAATAATTTTTTAAAATTTCACTGATGCTCTTCATTATAAACCTTTTATTAAGGGCTGCCATTTTAACATGATGCAGAACTAACAGATATGTAAGAACGTTCTTTACCTCCACGAGGAAATAGTAAATAAAATGGATAAAAATTGCTTGATACATTTCCTTGAACTCCATTGTCTCAAAACATAGGGCCTTTTAGGTATAATCATTATCTCTCCGTTTCTTTTTTTATTTAAAAAAAAAAAAAGTCCCACAGGAATCCCCGCACCCCCGTGCCTCTCCTTTGGATTTGACTGTACCTTCATCACGTTCTGTTCCCTTCCTGTCCTTCATCTTGCGGAGTCTGGGTACCCTCTCCCGCGCCTCGCTGAAATCGTAATTGTTGACGATCAGACAGTATCCCCGAGGAATGCTCTTCATTTGATATATTCTACCTGGTACCTAAAAAACAAAAGCCCAGTCTGGGAATTGACCCTGCAGCTCAGACCATGAACTGGGCACAAATCAATGGCTCAGGAAGAGAAAAGACGGCTGCCTGGCTCCGCCTCCTTCCGTGGCTCCAGGCAGATCTGGGACCATTTCCCTGTCACGGAAATCGACTCAGCTCACCTGCCTTTCTTGGCTAACAGCTGAGGGCTTTCCCTTTCACGCGTAATATAGTGCAAAGGAACATGGCGGCAGACGGAGAGCAAGGAGCTGGTCAAGTTGCTCATGGAACCCTGACAGGAAAAACCAGAAGGGGCCTGCATTCTTGCTATTCTCGTAGGGCTGTTTCAGCCTGAGTCTCAACGCTTAGTTGGAAGCCTGTCTCCTGAAGTACAGAAAAGGACCTTAGGGAGACAAAAGCCAGTTTCTATGGCTTAAAACCTTAGGGCTCTGGGCAACTTACCAAATCTCCTAGTAATTTAAGGTTTTATAACACACTTGAGTTCCTCTTCATATTGTACAAATCCTTCACCTTTTAATGTTTCTATGACATAAAGTAATTTATTAAGCACAAACGATATTCAGTCTTTGTTATTATCCTAAGTATGTCCTACTTATAGTAAGTAGATTTATTCAGATATTGTAATATAAGCAGTTACTAAGATATCAACATACTATCTTTAGCTGACTGGTGAGGACGACGCCGAAGAGTGTCTGCCTCAAACTAACACACAGTGTTGACTAATACTTGATTTCCTGATCCGAGAACAGGGCCCGAGAATCTCCTCAGGAGCCCACCCTAGTGCATAGTCTTTCTCACAGTGTCCGGGGTCTCCTGTGCTACCTGCCATGGGGAGGCTAACGGGCTGAACTGTATTCAGGGAACTATTGAAGACTAAATAGAATCGATGTCTATAAAGGAAATCTGTCTACAGGTTTCGCTGAGACGAAAAGTAAGCCTTGCTGAGATCCTGTTTGTCGCCTAACAGAAAGGAGAGACCCCTCCGCAAGGGCAGACTGAAAGAGAAAGCCTGCCAGGGCAACTCCTCCCGAAGCCCCACCCATTTTCCATGAAGCCACACCCCTCCCCCCATGCGCCCCTTTTCTCTGAAGCCCTCCCACGCCTCCCACGCGTGCACCCATTTTTGCTGGTACAGTTGCTAGAAGAGGGAGGTCTCACACATCCTCTACCTTCCAGCAATTCTTAGACTTTTGCTTTCGGTCTTATAATAAAACTAGAGCCTGGTGTGGCGGCTCACACCTATAATCCCAGCAGTAGAGGTGGGGGGAGGGGGGGTCAAGAGTTCAAAGGTCTTCCTGGGCTATGTAACGAGTTCAAGGCCAATCTGAGCTATTGGGGACCCTGTCTCAGACTACAGGCCAACAAACCAAACAGGGGTAATAGTGATAATTTAAAACAAATAAAACTGGAGAGGCCACATCCTCAACTGGTTCTTTTGTAGGTTTTTCTTCCCCAGAGTTTTCAAGATTTCTGAAAGGCTCCCCCCCCTTATCGGCTCATCTGGCCGCTTAAAAGGAGCCAACAAAGGCCCAGAAACAGAAACTTCAGTGGAAAGAGGGAGGGAGGAGGTGTGTGTACCTGGGGGTCGATGTCTTGTTCTCTTAGGGAGTCACATATTTCCTGCATTGTGATGCAGCTCTGTCCTGCAAGCAACCGAGAAACACGTGCAGAGTGAGAGGCTTGGGGGCAAAGGTTGTTTGGGAAAGAAATATGGAATGCCTAGGACAACCTAAGAACCTTAAAAACATTTCACGTGCGTGTGTGCGTGCGTGTGTGTGCGCACGTGCCTGTGTGTGTATGTGCGTGTGTGTGCATGCGTGTACGTGTGTGCATGCATGCATGTGTGTGTGTATGTGTGTGCGCGAAGCATTCTTGCACATATGCCTGACGGAAGGAGCACTCATGCAGTGCCATGTGTGTGGAGACCAAAGAGGACTTGGCAGGGTTGGTTCCTTCCTTTCCTTTGCATAGTTCCAGAGTTCAAACTCATATCACCTGCCCTGAAAGTAGACTTTTACCTACTAAGGCATTTCACTGCCCCTCCCCAGGTCGGTTCTTTCGAGAGTAAACATTGAGGCTGCCTTGAACATATTTCAGACGTGTAGATCTTGCAGGAAGGGCACTTAGCATGAACTGGAACCCAAACTGCTTCATCTGTGCTGCGGTCATTGATCAAGTCATTGATCAAAGCAGGAGGTGAGGATGAGCCGGTGATTCAAACACTGAAAAGCTGGCTCAGGCAGGCCTGGACAGGGGGACGGACTCACTGGCTCTGTGACTTGACCTTCTAAGGGAGGGTGATCCTCAGGGTGAGAGATGGCTCAGCTGCTGAGAGCTTATCACCCTTTGCTGAGGGCCAGAGGTTCCCAGCGCCCACGTGGTGGCTCACAAACAATCTCTAACTCCAGTTCCAGAAGATCTGATGCCATCTTCCGACATATCCAGGCTCCTGCACAGATGTGGCGTGCATAAACTCGCTCAGCCACATGCACTCACACATAAATTCACAATAAATCAGGAGAATACTCAAAAATGTATTACATGGCAAAAATAATAGTGAAAACATAAGAAAGACATTAATGTTTACAGAGTGCTAGTGGTGCTGTTTTAATTTTCTCTGAATTTAAAAATCACCCCCAAGGTGATTTTAATAATTATATAAGTTTTAACATAATATCTGATTAATAAAAAAATTTGGAGGGGGCTGCAAGAGCTTTTGCTACTCATGCAGAGAATGCAAACTCAGTTCCCAGCACCTGCACAGTGCTCACAACCATGTGGAACTCCAGTTTCAGGGGATCTGGTGCCCTCTTCTGGCCTTCAAGGGCAGCGACACACATGTGAACACATGCACAGTTGGAAATAAATTTGAAGGAGCCAGGCACAGTGGTGCACGCCTTTGATCCCAGCACTTGGGAGGGAGAGGCAGGTAGATCTATGTGAGTTAGAAGCTAGGCTGGTCTACAGAGCGAGTCCCAGGCTAGCCAGGGCTACATAGGGAGACCCTGTCTCAAAAAAACCAAATAGAAGGAAACCTTCTGCTGGTCCCATCTATCTTTCCTAGGCAAGAAAATAGAAAGAGGTCTGGATGTGTTTCCTTCTGGGATAAGACAGGGAATATGGCTAGAGCATCCCAGGCTAAGGCAGGCACAAGGCAGAGGAAGTCAGGTACGATAGGAGCCTGGACTTACCCAGAGACTGGGAAGGACTATGAACACTTGACCAAGGGGCTTCTCACAGAGCAGAGAACCTTGGTCGAGAACGTTCTGGGGGAAAAGTCAGGTTGGTATGGCACCTGCATTTGATTCTAGCATTTGACACAGAGGCAGGCCGATGTCTGTGATTTCAATGACAGCCTGATCTACACACACTCCAAGACAGCCAGGGCTGTGTAGAAAGACTCTGTCTCAAACAAATCAAAATGAAAGAATGTTCCGGAAAATCATCTGCACCCAGCTCCCCATGTCTCTCCGCGAAAGCAGACACAGCCAGATCAGAGTTGAGACTCTCTTGCAGAATAACTGTGTGCTCACTTCAGATGGTCCCACGGGAATTTTGAGAGCCCTTTTGGCCTTCCAGACAGCAGCAGAGGTGTCAAGTGGCCCCTGAACTTTCATTCTGACATTAGGCTGTAGCAGAAAGCAGTGGGAAGAAGGCTTGGGGAAATCAAGTGCCCTGGCATCTAAGAAATGTGTATGTAGGGCTGGAGAGGTGGCTCAGAGGTTAAGAGCACGGACTGCTCTTCCAGAGGTCCTGAGTTCAATTCGCAGCAACCACATGGTGGCTCACAACTGTCTGTAATGAGATCTGGTGCCCTCCACTGACCTGCGGACATATGTAGGCAGAATACTGTATGCATAATAAATAAATTAATCTTTAAGAAATGTATCTGTTGGCACACGCCTTTAATCCCAGCACTCGGGAGGCAGAGGCAGGTGGATCTCTGTGAGTTTGAGACCAGCCTGGTCTACAGTGCTAGTTCCAGGACAGACTCCAAAGCCACAGAGAAACCCTGTCTCGAAAAACAAAACAAAACAAAAAAAAAAAAATGTATCTGTAAGCATTACCGTCTGAAAATGAACCTGATGCCTCTGCCCCGTATTCCAGGCTCATTCTTCTCTCTGAATTAAAAAAAAAGAAGAACCTGGTCAGAGAGAAAAAGAGCTGCGGACTCTGGGGACTTTGCCACCTCGCAGCCATCGGCCATCTACCTCTGTTTGATTCTTCAAACTCTTCGATGTGCCGCAGCAGACTCCTGTTGACATGTTCAAAGATTGACTTCAGGCTGTCCAAGTTGTCTTCCCCCAGGATGAGCCTCTTCTCCATCTCCACAAAAACATCCAGCAGGCTCTGGGGAGGAAGGAGAAAGCAGGGGACAGAGGGACTGAGTGCCCAGGCCTGAGGGTTAGGTTTCGTTTCCTTTAATTCTACTCCTTCCAAAGAAAGG